TAAGAAAACTATCAAATTGTCATCGTCAAAACAACTGCTTTTTTTTTGTTTTTTTTTTTATACAGTTTTGGTTCAGTTTTATTGCAAAATAAACTTTTTTGATTAGTTAATTAAATCTATTTGCAGGTTTTTTTTTTGTTTTTTCTGCTCACCTTCTCTCCTCTCCCTCTTTGATTTTCTTCTTATTAACTGAATGCCTATTTTAAAAGTCAAAAGTTTCAGCTGTTAAGCACAAATTTTTTTCTTTTACCAATACTTAACAGACATATATATTGTTAAAGTTTGAAGAAAAGTTAAGTAATTTTTGACGTTATTTATGAAACTGTTTTGTTTCCAATGCATAATTTGTAATTGTCAGTTTTAAATTGCTATTTCTGTAATCTAAATAAGCTTCTTTTTTCTTTGCTTTAAATAATTTTAAAACTTTGTTTTTTTGTAAATCATCTAAAAAACAGAAATTTATAATTGGTTATTGTTTTTTTGTTTGCTGTAAATTTGCTCTAAAAATTTTTTTTACACCTAAGCAAATTTATTGTACTTTTGTTTGCAGTCAAATTAGAAAAAGAAATAATTTGTACAACCAAAACTGTTCAGTAATTTTTGATTATTTTTTGTGAAAAAGTTGTTTTGTTTTTTTGTTAATCAAATAGCTTTTTTTTTCCCCTTTTTTGACTAACCTTTAGCGCAAATGTAGTTTGTAGTCAAACACCTATCATATAATGCTTTTGAAGAATGTCACACTAAGAATTATTAGAAAAAGAAATTATTATATATTTATAATAAAACTATTTGATAGTTATCGCTTTTTTCTGTTGCAATGAATTAATGCCTACACAAATTTATCGTCAAAAAAATTCATCATATGCTTAGATGTTGTTGTTGTTGTTGTTGATGTTGCTGATGTTGTTGACGATGATGATGACGATGATAAGCTCTTCAAAGCTGCTTATCAACTGTTTTTTCTTTTAGTTCACGAAACTTTTACATCTTCGTGTCGCCAATACAAATCTGTTCTTTTTTTTCTCAAGAATCATAAATAAATTGCGAGAATAAACGTTTTTTTTTTCGTTTTTTTTGCAGAAGCTTAATGATTGGAATAGAGCTGCAATCAATTAGGTTATTAAAACCATCACTCAATCAACTGATATATTTTCATTAGTAAATTTTTTTTTGTCTTAAAAATATTTCTTTACATCTGGCAAACTGCTTGGATTATGTGGGCAAACAACTGGACTTTATGCTCACCGTTGCTCAATCTAATAACAACTTGCTTCAGAAAGCGTCGAAACAGTGTATGTTTTTTTTTTGTTTCTTCAAATTATATATATATGATGTCAAATTAGATGACAATCTTTTGAAAGATTCTTTTTTTTGGATTTTTAAGATTTGCTAGGATTCTTTTAGCTAAAATACAACAGCAGCAGCAGCAACTTTAGTTAAAATTATACTGACACAAAACAAAAGAAAAACCGGAGATGAGTCCTGCAGAGAAGTAGTGAATAAAAAATTACTGTACTGTACTGTACTGTACTGTACTGTATGATATGAAATGACAGTAATGAAAATAGTAGTAAACTTTGATAAGTCTATGATCTAATAAAAGATACCCTATACCGATGTATTATTGTCATTAAGGAACAATTTTGAAACTATGTATAATCCAATTGTTGGCAATAAAATTGACAGTATTGTTTTGTAAAAGTAATCAAAATTTTGTGAAAAACACTGATCACAGATACGTCGTCGTCGTTGATAACCATTTTTTTGTCTTTATAACCTAAACAATTCAAAGTTTGAAAAAAAATACTAGTCTTTTGATTCATTTGTATTTGCTTTTATATTAACTGTTATAAAGTATTCATCCATTTGCAAATAAGTTATCAAAAATTTATTTGTTTTTTTTTTTTAGAAGAAAATTGAAAAAACTGTTTTATTTGGCAGTCCTGTACCAAGTCAATCGAAGACTTTCAGTGTTCAACCATCCTTAGAGGATGATGCAACAACAACAGCAAATTATGGTAAAATACACTACAGATTGGACTATGACTTTGCCGTCAATAAAGTAAAAACTTTAATTTTACAAAAAAAAAAAAAAAGCAAATACCTTTGAATAGTTTGTCTCTAAAATAAACTAATAACAAACTTGTCGAATGAACTTAAGTTTATGAGATAAAAATCAGCTGAAAAATTTCAATTAAAAATCTGTTTTATATATACATATTTTTAAGGGTTTTAACTGAAATCTGTTACTGTCTGTTAGAAAGAAAGAGGTTTCTCAAAAGAAACAGAACATACAAAGTCATTTTTACACTTTTTTTTTGTTTCTTTTTTTTTTTTTTGAACCACATATTCTCAAAAAAATAAACACTGAAACAATAAAATATTTTTTATAGCAAAAAAAAAATTTTCATGTTTATGAAAAAATTAGAAAAAAAACAAAACGAAAACAATAATATAGCATTCCAGTTGGTTTTTTTTTCATTTTTTTCTTAAATGTCAATGAAATATTATTGAAAATTGATGGCCGCATAGTAAAGTTATGAGACGATTGTCTCATTTTAGTTGTTCCAAAATAAGTGTATCTAATGATTTCATTAAAGACAAATCTATATTTTATTTGCTTGCTTAGTTAAAAGAATTTTTTGGAATTTTTATAACTTAAATAGCATTTTAACAAAAAAACAAAAAATTTCTTTTTCTTATTATATCCACAACATATATAGTAATGAGATTTTAATTGCAGTTAGCTGTAACAGTTTTTGAAGGCAAAGACCTTCCTGCAATGGATCGAAATGGAATGTCAGACCCATATGTTAAACTATGTATGCTACCAGAAGGAAAACAAAAATTTGAGACCAAAATTATTCGAAACTCATTGAATCCAAAGTTCAATGAAACTTTTGCTTTCAATGTACTGTTAGTCGTCTGCAGAACAGTTTTTTTTTTTTTCTTTTTACAACTGCATTTATAAACTAAGAAAAGCAGCTAGCTTGAAGTAGAATAATATTTTAATAGTCAAACCTAGAAATGTTCTCTTTTTTTCTTTTTAATGTCATAAATAACGGGATTTTTTTTTTTTCTTTTTTGACATTAGAGTATAATGATTAGCTGTTCAATTAACTCTGTTATTTTTCCTGGTTGTTTTTAAAACTTTAAATAACTTAGTGTTTTCAACAAATAATATTCTAAGCAGTTCCTTCTTCAGTTGAACAATATTAAAAACAAACTTTTTTTAGTTGGCATTCAGTGAACTGCAGTGCAAAACGTTACAATTTATTGTCTATGATTTCGATCGGCTGGGAAAGGATGATCGTATCGGTCAGTTGTCGTTGCCACTTGAAGTTGTAGACTTTGGTGCTACAGTAGATGAATGGAAAAATTTAGAGGCTCCTGACGAAGGATTAGAGTCGGTTAGTTTTTTAAAATCTGTTTATTAGAAAAAGCTAAATTTGAAATAATAACTTCAAGTTTACAGCCTAAATGATCCCAAACTTTTGAAAGTTTTCATCTTTAAAACATTGTTTGATGTAATTTAAGAAGCATTTGCGTGAAAAATAATTTAACAATCAACTGAATTTTGAAAATATAGGAATCACGTTTGGGAGATTTATGCTTTTCACTTCGGTATCGACCAGCTACTGGAAGTCTTAATATAACCATAATGGAGGCTAGAAATTTGAAGAAAATGGATGTCGGTGGTTCCTCAGGTGAATTCGTTTTATGATACAGATAAAAATAAGTGTTGCTTTTTCAAAATTGCTTTTGTTCTTTACTTCTTTGTTCTTCAGATCCTTATGTTAAAATCTATCTTTACTGCGGCAAAAAAATGCTGACAAAAAGAAAGACAAAACGAAAAGATAAAACCCTGAATCCGTATTACAATGAATCATTTCAATTCAGGGTAACTCCGGAGTTGATGCAAGTAAGTGAACCGGTTTTTAGACAAACCGTTTTGGAACAAAAAACTTTAAAATAATGTGTAATTATTGAAAATCTGATGAAACAAACAAGTTTTTCCATACTACAACAACAAAAGATCAGTTATGAAAGTAAATTTTTAAGTTGCCTTTGTGCTATTCCGCATATTTTTTTCTTAAGTGAAAAACAATGAAATTAAGGTGATGGAAGTGTTGAAATGGTTTAACCGCACAAAGTGTTTGAAACAATTTTAGTGTGAAACAAAAGTGTATGGCAGGAGCTCATGCAGTAAAACATGAAAAAAATATCTACTATTACTGTTGTTATGAAAACAACAATTTCACACTCTTAGACCATCGAAAACAAATTTCTAAGTATCTGCTTTAAAGCAGTCATTAATGCCTTAAAATTATATTCTGCTAATTAATTTAGTTATAAAAACTTTAATTTTAAAGTCATTAAAAATTTAAATTATTAAAATTAGTCTCTTTAACATACAATCTATTCAATTTTACTGCTTTAGAAGGTATATGTGGTGCTTCAAGTGTGGGACTATGACAAAATGAGCAAAAATGATTTCATTGGTGAAGTTCGGGTTGGCTCTGTACATTTAAATGATCCAACTATTGGATTAGCTGCTCAAGAACAATGGACAGAAATGATGTTGACCAGAAGGCCAGTGGTAAGGTGGCATACCTTACAGCCACGGCCATAATTATTGTTTAAAAGGTTTTTTCGTTACTGTTTATTATTTAGCAAATACAATAACTGTTATTCATTGCTGAGTATTATTTTAGAGATTAAAAACAATTATTGTAGAGTTCTATCATTCGCCTTGGTTTTCTATAAGAAAATGGAACGAACTGATGCAGTTGACTACAGCTACGGATGCGAAAAATTCTTGCTGATGACTGCTGCTCTGATGTTCGTATTTACAAAGAGTTGTATACTCGTAAGTAATTAAGGTTGCCAGTGCCAAAGATATTGACCTTTCTTCTATGCTCAAGTCTTCCACTTGTATTTGCTGTCATTTCATTGACAGTTTTTTTTGACATTTCTAAGCTCAATGTTATGCTTGAGTATATGTTCACAGTGTCGTATTCAGTCAAGTTTGTTCAGACAAGAATAAACAAAGACAGATTATATTTCTGTATCATATATCTTAGCCTAGAAAAGACTGGTAATTCTCTCTTCCAAGTTTCTCACTGTTTTAAAATCCTATTAATTTTTTTTTTTTTTTTTTTT